TTATAGGACCGCCTGCGAGGGTGGCACACACGGGTCTGTAGGCACAGGGGAAAAGCATAGAGGGGCTGGTGCGTTTAGAAACAGGGTGTTATGTGGGGCTGCAGCTCCTGAGAAAGGCGGTGAGACGTGAGGAGCTGGATTTTTTATTTTACTACATTTTAATTAATTTTATTCTCCATGTTCCTATGGGGCTAGGGGCTACCCTACTGGACAGCACAGGCCTGAGGAGGGAAGGAGTGAGTCGGGATCTCATGCCCCATGAGTCTCAGGGGCACCTTCCTTTTGCCAGCTGCAGCCCTCCCGGGAGCCGTGGTCCGTGGATGAGCCCCCGGGCCTGCGGGGCGCTGCTCGCCCGGATAAATCAGACCCGGGGCCCTGTGCGCAGTGGCTCAGGGATCAAAAGAGATGCTTTTGGAGTGGTTGGAAACGGTTGTTTATTTTCCTCTAAAATATCTGAGACACATCTCTGCAGTCTTGTTTATGTGATAAATTTACTCTGGGAAGCTCGTTTTATAAAATGCAGGTCGGCTCTGGCATAGAGCCTCAGAATTAATGGGGTTTGGCTGGTCTTGAACTGTTGCTCTGTTCCCGCGTAGGTGTGTGTTGGCCATTTAGTTTTGGCCCCTGTTTATGGTTTTTACACACACATTCTGGCTGGGGCTCTGGCTCTTCTTCCTCCTTTTAAGCTTGGGTAGATCTGGGGGGAGGAGGGGTGAGTGCCCGGTCTGCTAGGAATCTCGGCCTGATGACAGACACCCTTGGTTTCTTGAGGCTCTTAAGTTTTGTTGTTTTTTTGGTTTTAGGATTTCAGGGATGTTTTTGTATGTAATTGACAGAAGACGTTTCCTGGCACTAGGGTCTTAATCATTCTAACTTCTCCTGATCAAGTTTAATCTCATTTATCTGTAAATATGCACTATAATGAAGGGTGTGTTTCCGAGTGGGAAGGTAATTGCCTTTCCCTCTTGCAGTTTTAATTTAAAATTACCTCTACGCCTACCTCACCTTTATTTCCAGGCTCTGAACAGACCCCTAGAAAAGCAGCAGTAGTTACCGCTTATCCACTCTTCCTGAGTTCAGGAAACAGCACAGCCCCTTTAATAACAGAGCTAGAAGATTCCATATGGTGGCCTATTTTTACAAGACTTGTATGCAGGAGGAGATCAGGGAGGGGTGTGCCCCACAGTATAATGTGGGAGGAAATTTTCAACGGTGTTCAGAAGCGTATTTCGTCTGTGGTCGGCCTTCCACACCGAGGTAGACAAGGATTCTGGTGCCCATTTTTCTCAGCACAATTGAGTCAAACCCTGTGGGCACAAGATTACTCTGTCATCTTTCAGGGTGCCAGAGGCTGGAGAGCAAAATCGGTTGAGGAGGCAGAATAGGTCTCCCTGTTACTCACTGACTTTTCCAGAGTGTCTGCTGCCCTGTACCGATCCCATGTGGCTTCTCAATCGTGGGGCCCAGCCAGGTCCTTCACCCTTGGATAGCCTTTCCCTGAATCCACTTCCTGCCTGCGCAGGTCCATTGTTCCTGCTGGGGCCTGAATGACCTTCAGGTACAGCTCTCCCTTCTGTGCTGGGAAGCCTTCGGTGGCTGCCCATTGTCTCCAGATCAGCCAGACACCCTTGTCAGCCTCTTGAGTCCCTGCCTGGCTTTCTGGTCTCGGGGGCACTACTGAGCTGTTTTTTGGTCCTGTTGTATGTCAGCTTTCTGCTGGGCACTGAGGACACAGCCATGAGCAAGTTCCGGCCCTTATAGGAGACCACTGAAAAAAAGTAAAAAGACACAAAAAGCTAATTTTATTAACATTTAACCTAATATGGCCAAAATATTATCATTTTAATGTGTGGCACTGGCCATATGTCCGTGCTCACTAGGCACATGTGCCTTGTAGTTACCCCAGTGGACAGCACAGGTCTTGAGGCGAGTGGGACAAATGGAAAAGCCGGCCAGTACAAGACAGTCCGGGACTGCTGGCTTTGTGTTTATTTAGGGGATTATCTTGCTAGATTGTGAATTCCCAGCAGGCATGGGCATTGCCCTGTTTTGCTTACCCTTGTAGCTCTAACACCTGGCTTAGTACTTAGCACATAGTAGGTGCTCAGTAAATTTTATGGGCTGAACTACTGAGTTCAGCACAGGATGCTGCAGGAGGAGTGAGCAACCTGTACCAGAAGGCTTTGGGGGAGAGGGCGCGTCCCTGAATCAACTTGCAGAATGGGAGCTGGGTCAAGAGGAGGCAGGGAGAGTATGCTAAGGAGGGAAGAGAGTGCGTAGTGCTCAGAAGTAAAAGAGGAGGAAGGTTGGGGGGAGCTGCAGGAGTTCATTGTGACGGAAGCTTCGGGTACAGTTGGGGAAGGAAGGGGGTCAGGAGATGGGGCTGGAGAAGCAGTGAGGCCAGGTCACGAAGCCGTTTCAAAGCCGCCGTGGAATCGCTGCCTTGTTCTGAGGATGTGCAGAAACAGGACCAGCGTCCTGGGTGGGCACGGCCCCTTGAACTTGTGCGGTGCGTCTCTCTCCTCCGCAAGCGCCGTTTTCTCCCTTCATACCTCCTGGGCCACAGAAAGGGCTTGGTCGGAATGTTGGCTGACCTGCGGTTCCGTGGTGGTGTCTCCTGCTGCCTGTGGGAGGCTTGAGGAGGAGGAGCAGGTGTAATTACCTGAATGCAGGTCAGAGATTGTTCTAGCAATTCCCGACCAAATTCTCTGCAAGCGGGGGAGTAGATGTTGTTTAGATCAAATCTGTCTTTCAGTAATGGCCCTTCACTTGAGGATCGGGACCTTCCAGAGCTTTGATGAGTGATTGAACTTGGGTCTTTGTGAGGGTTGTGCTCTCGGACACACGGTGGCTAGAGCTTCAGGAACCAGTGTTTCTGACGCGGCCCTGAACAACTCCTGTTTCCGCCGTCACTGGCAGAACCCAGCCAGTGGGCACTCGCGTTGCAGGGTCCTGATCGCTGGGCGGCGGCCTGGGGCGGGAAGGTGGATGACGCTTCCAGAGATGGAGCTCAGCAGTGAGTTTCATGGCTTCTCTTCTGTCTCCAGATCCCTTTTCCCATCTCAAGGGAAGGCCAAGAACAGACTAAAGATGACCTAGGAAAATAAAAGCTTATTCCCTACGAGAAATTTTGACTTTCTTATGTCAGTCCTTACCTACCTTCCTACAGTATGTCAGCAAATAATGCTTTTTTTTTTTTTTTAAATTTCAAGTAGACTCTGTGCCCAACATGGGGCGTGAGCTCCCGACCCTGCGATTCAGAGCTGTATGCGCTACAGCGGAGCCAGCCAGGTGCCCCAATAATGCTTTCTATTTTTTAAATTTTTATTTATTTATTTTTAAAGATTTTATTTATTTATTTGACAGACAAAGATCACAAATAGGCAGAGAGGCAGAGAGAGAGAGGAGAAAGCAGGCTCCCCGCTGAGCAGAGAGCCCGATGTGGGGCTCGATCCCAGGATCCTGAGATCATGACCTGAGCCGAAGGCAGAGGCTTTAACCCACTGAGCCACCCAGGCGCTCCCCCAATAATGCTTTTTAGAACATAACTTCTCCTGGGGCGCCTCGGCCGGGTGAGCAGCGGACTCTTGGTTTCGGCTCAGGGTTGGGGGAGTCTGCTTGAGATTTGTCTCTCCCTCTCCTCTGCCCTCCCCATGCTCGCTCTCTTTCTCTCTCTCTCTCACTCGCTCTCTAAAATAATAAAGAAATAAAAATCTTAAAAAAATAGCCATTGCCGCTTTAGAATGGGACTCAGCATGCTGTTATTGAGAAAGTGGATTCAAGAAGGGATTCATCCGGGGCGCCTGAGTTAAGCTCACTCTGGGCACGAAGCCCACTTGGGATTTTCTCTCTCCCTCGACTTTGCCCCCCGCCGGCTTGCATGCTCACTCTTAAAAACATAAATATGTGAAGGCGATTCAGGAAGGCTGGACATGAGGAGCTCTGCTGAGGTGGTGTGCTCTGCCACTGATGACAGCGATTGAAACTTTATGATTAAAACCCGTGGCGAGTAATAACGATGTTCTTACTGAGTGTCACCGCATAGCAGGTGTTGGGCTGGGTGCAGTTCTTGGTTTCTTTATGGTGACCCTGTGATCGCTGTCACTCTCCCAGTTCATACATGCTCCCTTCCTCCTGTCACAGCCGAGAGTGATGCATTGTTCTTCTGCAGTATTTAATTGGGTTCAGAGGACATTTTACCCCCCGTGACGTTTGCGAGAGCAGAACTGTAATTAGAATTCCTGATCTGCGGGGTCATTGAGCAGGTACTGCTTGCGCTTCCTGTGGGCGAGGCTCTCCAGGTGCCATGTGCTGCTACTGTGTGGGGGTTGATCTCGTAAAGTGTGATATTCAACGGAGTATAATAGAGGAATATTAAGTACTTCAGTGTGTCCAATTAATCATTCAACCTTGCAAAGTAGGTTTTGTTACGCCCTGGTTCTGGAAGGAAGCCTGGGCTGGGAGAGGATTAAGAACATGCCTTCTAACCCAAACAAATTCCTGTCGGGGTCTTTGCAAGTCCGGAGTGGGTTTGCCTTCCCCCAGACCCTGCTGCCTCTGGGTGGGGTGGTCTGGCTGGGGTGGGAACACGCTGGTGGCAGATCTGCCTCACCACCCCCTCGTTGCTCCTCTCCCTGCTCCCTGCCCTTCGCCTCTCTTGGGAAGGAACACCTGGCAGGTGGGCACAGATAGAGCCATGCTTGGTCCCAGGGAGGACTGAGACAGGGTTGAGGTAGAGTCGGTCCCAGGTGAAACTCCTCGCTGTAGTGGGCCGGCAGCCAGTGCGCGGCGTGGGCAGAGGTGGCTCGCGTGCTTGGTGTGGGTCAGGCACCCGGGAGGGTGTGGCTTTGGGGATGACCCCATCGGCACACCACACTGAGGATGTGTCCCCCAGAAGCCGCTCACCGGGGCCTCCAGAGTGGCCGTCACAAGGCCATTCCCTCATAGTCGTGATCTAACCCCAAACACGTGTTAATTAATACCACTTCTCTATATTCTAGGCTTTGGATGTGGACCGGATGGTTCTTTACAAAATGAAGAAATCCGTGAAAGCAATAAATGTCTCTGGGCTGGGTGAGTATGCATTCTTTCCTAGGGGTTTCTTTGTGCACATCCTGGCGTTAGCAGTGACTGAGGCCCTAATAGTGATCACCAATAATGAATAATCAACCAAACCTTTTTTTTTCTAGGCATGCAAATTGTAAAGTTGAGTTGGGATGTTTCGTTTTTAGAAGTGTGTTTTGTTTTGTCAGTTGTCTAATTTTGGAATGGCGCTGTGTCTGCCGCCCCTGCCCCCCACCCTCCCACGGTCCCACGCGCTGCTTCCTGTTCTCTGAAGTGCGGCTGAATTTCCCACCACAGCCCTGCATGAACCAGCTTTGTCTAAGTGGTGGACAAGGACACCGGCCTCATTGCTGCCTCCGTTGTTTGGTTTCTGTGTTAATCATGTCAGAATGGCCCTTCCGTTGCTCTCATCCAGTGCTTGCCTTTCTTGTTGGGGATGATGATTAACATACAAGCACCATCAATTTTTTGAAGTAATTTCTGCTAGACTAATAAACTTTTTTCTGACTTAAAGATTTCAGGCTGCACACATGTGGCAGGTCTGCCCCCTGCTCAGAACCTTATAGGTGATAGACGTAATTTTTTTTAAGTCATGAAGTGACTGTGTCGTTTCTCTCAGAAAAGCCAGTGGCAGCCTTGGAGGGCTAGCAGTGGTGAGAGCTCCCAGAGACCGTGGAACCAGGTGACGGACTGCAGAGAGCAAGGCTGGCTTGAGGGAGAGCACAGTATTGCTGAGTGTGACAAAGACACTCCTGTTGCTTGTGGCTGATGGCCGGGAGGAGGACAGGGCCTGGGATCTGTGCCCACAGATGCTGTCAGGCCACAGGATCACCCTCGTGGTGTTCCCTTTTATGACAGCAACAACTGGAGTAAAGGACAGGGAATGCTACAGGTGGTTAAAAGGAGGGAGGGGCACAGATGGGTCTGGAAGTACCTCTTGTGCCCACCCCCCACCCTAGTTCTGCTGTTGTGAGCAGCAGCTCCAGGAACAGTGTTTGCCTCCCCCAGGGAGGGCTGTGCAAGCCAAGATTGTCAAGAGGCCAGTAGGAAATGTCAGCTACAAAGATGGTACAATAGTCAAGAATGGCAAGTATATTTAGGAAGAGATTTAACAAAAGATATGCAGGAACTCTATATTAAAAACCACAGAACACCACTGGCAGGAATTACCTAAATGCGAGGTATATGACGTATGTGGGTTGGAAGACTCGACGTAGTCACGATGTCTGTTCTCCCCCAAATTGATCTCAAGATGCACCACAGTCCTAATGAAAATTCCAGCAGGAGAATTTGATAAGGCGATTCCAGAACTTATGAGAAACACACAGGACCTGGACTGTCCCAAGTAGTCTTGGGACAGAGACAAGTTGGAGAACTTAGGCGATGTGACTTCAGGTCCTGTGAGACTGTGGTGGTCTCGACTGTGTTGCCAGCAGGGGGCCAGCAAAGAGATGAGCGGAACAAAAGACAGAGTCTAGAAATAGACCTTCACTGAGAGTTGTCTGACTGTCAGCACAGTTGTCGAGGCAGAGCCATGGGAGACGAAGGTGTTTCTAGCACATGGTCCTGGAACAACTGGATCTTTCCATCAGAACAAAGGAAGTACAGCCCTCTCTCCTACCCTGCGCAAGCAGTGCTGTGAAATGGATCGTAGATTCAGACATAAAAACTAAAGCTGTAAAGCTTCTTGAAGAACACAGAGGAGAACATCTTTACAACACGGGGCAGGCAAGGCTCCTTGGAAAGCACACAGAAGGCAATAGAGTAAAAAGAAAATAAAATTGTTAAATCAGACTTCCTCAAAATGAGACACTTCTCAGTGCTCAAAAATGCTATTAAGAATAGCCTAACGTTTGGCGGGTCCCCAGGCAAGAAGGTAGAGAGCTCACAGTTGAGGAAACTAAGTTAGTAGGGCAATCAGGGCAGGACTCCAAGTAAGAGTGTACGATTAACCCCCTTCAAAAGGCAAGGGAGGTATTTAGTTACTGGAACCGGAAAAGAGCCAGTAAAAGGTATGGAAATAGAAGAATATGTAATTGTTGAAATAAAGACTAAAATTTACTAAATGGCAAGCTGCCCACATAGGAGGAGAGGATTAGTGATGCCCCGTGTTGCCGGGACATGAGTTAAAGGAGTGAATGGATAGTGCAAAGTAAAAATCAGGCGCCTCAGAAAATAGACGGAGACGGACCAATATAGCACCCGTCGTTTGGGGAAAAGCAGAAAAAGGGAGAGTTTTTAAAAAGTAATAGCTGACAAATTCTCAAAAAACTAAAGAAAGATTTGCGATCTCAGGTTGAGGGGTACCTGGGTGGCTCAGTCGGTTGTGTCCAACTCTTGATTTTGGCTCAGGTCATGATCTCAGGGTCGTAAGATAGAGCCCCGTGTTGAGCTCCGCACTAGGCGGAGCCTGTTTAAGATTCTCTCTCTCTCCCTTTTTCCCCCCACCGGCCTCTCCATAAGAGATAAAATAAGACCTCAGATTGGGAGAGTGACTGAAGTGTGAGGAAAACAGATTATACACGCACATGTAAATGTGCATACACACTGTGTGGTATGTGTGCAAGTGCGCCTGTGTGTGTGTTTATGGGCGGACATGGTGTACATATCTCAGGACATACCCTATCTTGACCTCAGGGATAAAGAGAAGATTAAAAATTTATCAAGAGGGGGAAAAAGCATATATATATATATATATATATATATATATATATATATGAAAAAAGATTTGGGGGCAGGATGCTAAAAAATGACTGTATTGGTATTTTGACTTTATAGATACTTTCCCCCCTTCATTTTCCATTATTTTATGTATTGTAACATATTGATGTTACATGATTAAACAGGAATTGAGTTGTTTCTGGTTAAGTTCCAAAAGAACGTGAAAGAAGTTCAGGAAATCAAAGAAGTGGTGGGAGGGACTTAAGTTGTTCATGACTAAGCTTGCTTGTCCTGACTGAGTTCGAAAGCTTTTTGGACCTGGAACTTGTGACACTCGCTGTTGTACCCTGGAGCAAATCGCTGAGCATGTTTTAGCCCTGGTTTCCTTGTCTCTGAAATAATTCAGTTGGGTTAGAATGTGGATCAGGGTGATTTTGCTCCCCCCAGTTTGGTTACTAACAACTGAGAGGTGTGCGGGTGTGTGCACAGACTGTGGGCACTTGTGGATCTGGGACAGGGATGCTGCTAAAATCCCATGACGCACGGGACAGCTCCCAGCAGAGAATTAGCTGGGCCCACATGTCGGTAGTGCCAAGGTTGAAAATTCATCTCGATGGTCTTCAGAGTCTTCTACGGTTTCGTTTTGTTTTTTTTTTTAAAAAGATTGTATTCATTGGGGCGCCTGGGTGACTCAGTTAAGCGTCTGCCTTCGGCTCAGGTCACGATCCCGAGGTCCTGGGATTGAGGCCCATGTCGGGTTAGGAGTCTGCTTCTCCCTCTCCCTTTGCCCTTCCTGGCTTGTTTCCTCTCTGTTTCTCTCAAATAAGTAAATAAAATCTTAAAAAAAAAAATAAAGATTGTATTATTTATTGGAGGGGGAGAGGCAGTGGGAGAGGGAGGGAGAGATCCATCAGATGCGTCACTGAGCACGGATGGGGCTCAGTGCAGAGAGCAAGCCCGTGACTCTGGGATGATGACCCAAGCTGGAGCCGAGAGTCGGATGCCCACCCCATTGAGCCACAGGTGCTGTCACAGTCCTCTACAGTTTTTAAAACAAAACAAAACCAGAAACCACCACCGTGCTTAGCTTGCAAATGCATAAACATCGATTGATTGATTACCTGCCAACTACTGATTTTATGAAGGAAGTAGAATTAGTTTTCATTGAGTAACGCATAATGAAATAAATATATGTAGGAAAGTACTTTTTATTTAAAAGGAAATAACAAAGAGTATAAACCTCTTCACTCAACATTTCTGTACATTATGTTAATCTTTACAGCTGACTGTTCTCATTTGACAGACGAGCCACCTGAGATCAGAGGGCTGCACGTGTTCCTGGGCCGCTCCGTGGAACTTGGCTTCCTGCTTGCCCAGGGCTGTGTGCTGGGCCCGTTCCGTTCTGAGGCCACCGTGTTTTCGGGGTGTCTGGCCCACTGACCATCTTCAAGATTTCCAGAAATCACTCAAAGATGGATGCTTAGTTCTTTTGACAAACAATAGATTTCAAAAAATATCTCAGGAGTGGTTTTTCGTGTTTTTTTTTTTTTTTTAACCATGTTCCCTGGGGCTTTTGAGTTTGTAATGTAAGGCTAGTTTAAAAGAGGGAATTTTTTTATTCTGATGAGTTTCAAGAGTGATTTTGAAGTCCCGTGTCGAGAAGGCTGATTGTTTTCTGATCAGAAATAAAAATGAAGGACTGTGCTTCTCGTGCCAGCATTGGCCACGTGACCACGGCCAGTCCTGAGAAGGACCTGCGTGTCCCCATAGGCTAGCCCGGTACCCCGCCACATAGCTTTCACAAGCCAGCGTAGAGGGAGGAGGTGTAAACACACAGTGTCAGGAAGCTAGCCTGTACGAATTTAGTAACACTTGTGTCACATCTGCCTTTGTGACCTATATTGTCTAGCATGTGCCACAAACCTCCTTCCTTTACCTGCCCCAGAGTCGTTTCCTAAAATACAGCCCAGTGATGTTACTTCTCTGCTCGAGAGTCTGCAGCGTTTTCTCATTATCCACTTTGACGTTCATGAAGGCGAGTTCCAGATTCTGGGAGAGATGAGGAAGGCCTGCGTAGGCTGTAGCAGTAGGGAAATTGGGGTCAAGCACAGGTAAGCAGGTGTCTGTTCCTGCCGGACTGGCCGGAGACTTCAGCCTGCCCCTGTGGAGTGTGGGAGGAGGACTCTCTTAGCCTTTTCCAGATCTTTTTGCTTATGAGATCGCCACTTCCTCCCTTCATCGATCCAGCGTAAGCCTCGGCTCAGTAAACACAGCAGGACGCCAGAGGCAGACCGAGCCCCTCACACCTCCTGGGCCCACGCTGCCTTCCAGGGGTCCTTCTGGGAAAT